TCAGTTGACCTAGATTTTGTCTTTTATTTTAGAAGATTTTCTAAAATTTACTAGATTTGCAGAAGGAAAAGGATTTGAGTGCCATCTTGTGGCAAAACATATATTACAGTGTAAGAATTTCAGGATCTACTACTTTATGTGTGTTCATGTGTATTGCATTTACCATAACCAGTGTATGCTCTCTACTTGCCAAGCAAAATTACACTTCAGGGACATAATTTAATGCTGCTTGCTTTTCCTATTATCGTTTTTCATATTGCAGCCTGGTATACAGGCAATTCAGAGGAAGCATAACATAAAACTAAATGCCAGTTCATATCTTTCCAATGTTATTATTTAAATAACTTCTGGAAACCTAAGGGAAAAGCTGCAGGTTACGTCTTGATAAACAACAATCCAGAGACATGCATAAATGAAATCTATACCTTTGAATATAATCACATTGACCTTTCTTTGTTAAACCTCTCTGACTTGTTTTATTTTTATTTTTTGCTAATTTAAGACAAACTACATCTATGGATATAGGCCAACGTTCATAATCTGAGAAGAGCTCTAGGTCAGGCCATGGTTTGTAAAAAGGTAACCCAGGCCACAGAGATTAGTATGGGCAGTAGCCTGTGCTGTGTTTTACCTTCTTTAACTGTCTTCTTTTTTTTTCTTGTAAAGTCTTCAGCAGGAAATATTAGCACCACAGGATTTCCGATGTGTAAACATATGCTTATTAGTTGAAGTGCATGCAACCAATTGACTGTAAATCCTTATAATCATAGAGCACAGCGCTACCAGAGTGTCCCAGGAGACACATTATTCAAATCTGGTCTTGCTAGTGATGAGATATGATTGATCCAACCAGTGGCAGGGGAATACTAAAACCCCTGTTTCTACATCCTTTAAGTTTGTCATTTATATTCTTCTCATGTATGAAAATACACATCATAATAGACACTCTTAAACTGGTAGCTGGAGAGGGATTAAATATATTCTATCTCCACATATGCAATCGTAAGTTACATGATCGTAATTTTCTTGATGCCCAGGCCACTTGTATGAAAAAGACCTCATCTAACATAAATAGCTAATTCTATAATTGACAGATGTAGCACTACCCACTTAGGAGTCTTAGGTTTGGGTCCCCCCTACTGTCCTGCTCAGGGAGGCAAAACACATTTCTTTCCAGCCTTGCACTCCAAAGAGAGTGGACAGTCCTTGAACTTGTGTTTTTGGATTTTATTAGGGGATTGAAACTTGGATGGGGACACATGGGATGCCCAAGAAACTGTTAAACTAAGGACAAATTCATGGAACTATGTAGTGCTCAGAAGGGTCTTCCTCTTCTTGAAGAGCTATCCAGCCTCTCCTGGTGTACCATCCCAGACCCCAGATGAAATCTCTTCATCCAGCTGCCTAAGGGAATCGCTGGCCAAGAGAAAAGAAAAAAGAAAAAAAAAAAGGTTATAATCCTATACCCACAGTTGATCCAGAGGAAGGCAAAAAAACCCCAGCAAAGCATGATCTAATTTGCTCCTGCTGAGAAAAAAAATTCCTTCCTGATCCCCCGAGAGGCAATCGGATATTTCCTGGATCAACTTTACCTATAAATGTTAGTATCCAGTCAGGGGCGGACTGACCATTTGGAAACTCGGGCACAGCCCGAAGGCCGGGGTCAGTAGGGGGCCCCATGAGATGCCCCTGGTACCTTTTTCATAGGCTTTTTTGAGTTTGGGCAAGGACACAGGGGCACCATGATCCCCTATTGCCCGGGGGCCCCATGAGTTGTCAGTCGCCCCTGTATCCAGTTATATTCTGTGTAACTAAGAAAGAATCCAGGCCTTTTTTTGGATTGTTTCAAAAAAGGCTTGGATTCTTTCTTAGATAAGATAAAAGGCTCGGGGACTTCTTTCCCCATTGTTTCTTGCCAGTACAGCAGCTATTTATTTGACCTGTACCTGTAACATGGACACTCCAACATGCACGCACAAGTGTGTGCACCTAGTGAAAGGTCAAAAACCTATTTATTTCCTTCTTTCCTCCATTGGAATAAAATTTGATCTTTGAAAGCCTCCTAACAATATTACCATTTGTCCCAACTGTTGTAATTGTCACTAAATACCTTGGTCAGTCTGGAGAAAAAGGTATTTAACATAATAAAAAAAAGGATTTATTATACTATAATACTTTTATTTCATGCATTATCCATGCAACTTATTAGAATACTGCGGTTTTCATGATAGTTGTAAAATGTTAATCATAAAACACAGTTATCCTTCAATTCAGGTAGCAGAATTGTATGTGCAAAAAATGCTTATTCAAAATGGTGTTAAGCAAAACATATGCAAAACTGGTGAATGGTTAACATTGCAATTTTGGGAAGAAAATCCATTGACATCTCATAGTCTATAGTCCATAGTTCCTAGTCCATCTCAGAAGCGAGCAAGAGAGGGTGGCTACAGACAGTGGGAGCATGGAGAAAGAACATAGCCACCATTTAACAAAGATTGATGGCAGCAGCAAAAATGTAAGTATTTCGAGATTTGGAGAAGGCTGAGAGAAATAGAAGGGACAATTCTGTGTTAAGAATACATACTGGAATAGATTTTTTTTTATTTTTAAACCAGATTTTAGTGTCACTTTAATTACAAGTAATTATCACCCCAAAAAAGGAAACAATCTGACCTGAATCTGAAAGTTTTTTTATTTTAAAATTTTGCATGACTCATTAGGTTCTTAGGACAAATAAGTATAACACATTGTACAAAACTGGAGTAATCCATAGTAGCAAAAATCCAATATTATTTGGCATAAGACATACAGTACAAATATTTAATCAATTGCTATGAAGCATATCATACATTGTATATGTGCACTTTGTACATTTTATTTGATTATCATTATTTACATTTGAAATTTACTTTAATGATAATTTTAGGTGTGCTCATTAATTGGTTTCACAATTGGAAAAAAAATGCATATAACTTTATCTAAATTTGAGTTTAAAAAAGGTGTAGTTTTTTCTTGAAGGAAGTTTTTTCTGTATACGTTTAACATACACATACTGAATGAGTTGCATAATATATTTAAACAAGCTGACAAACTACATGTAAGTTATAACAAATGTACAGACAGTGCCTGTTGTGAAATATAATTGTAACAATACTTACTCCCTTGAGCCCGCAGAGTCACTTTGAAGGTTTTTTTTTAACCGCTTGCCCTCCTGAGGATTTACCACCCCCCCATCCCCCTTCCTGACTAGGTCATTTTTTGCGTTACCACCCTACGTTACTTTAACTGACAATTGAGCGCTCATGCAACGCTGCACCCAAATTAAATTTACATCCTTTTTTCCTACAAATTGAGCTTTCTTTCTGTGGTTTTTGATTGCCTGTGCGGTGTTTTTTTTTGCGCTATAAATCAAAGACTGACAATTTTGAGAAAAAAACAATATTTTTTACTTTTTGCTATTAAACATGTCTAGTGAAAAAAATTTTTAAAATTTAATTTCATCATAAATTTAGATGCCTTTCCTCCTGACAGCAACGTTCTGGAAGAAAAAACATTGGCGTTTGTAAACATGTATAGATGCATTTAGGCAGGTGAAGTGCTTTGGTATTAATTAATTTCAATGACCAGAGTAATATTTTATTCTGGTAAAATAAATGAATTAACACTCAAGAGTTTGACACCTAGCATTAACGTGCATTCATATGAGTTGAGCGCTGCTGCTCCTGGGCGCGCTGGCAGTGCTTTTTTTTTCTCCTCAACTGCCTCTAAATGCCTACAGTATATGTGCATGAACACATAGGCTAACATGGAAGGGCATTTGGAGGCAGAAAAAAAAAATGCCAGATGCCCTCAAAAGCAGTGCAAATGATGTCCAGTGTACATGAGGCCTTAATAGGGGCTAGAAGTGCTCAAAGCACATTGGGATGTGAATCTGTGATGTGCGCATTACATTAGTCTAAATGTGAGTGCTGGGCACCTCTGGTCCAACTGCCTTCTCTGCTTTAGAAGTTATTGAATCCTTTCCAGTGTGCAGGAATCAGTCTAGAAGCGGTTGGACATTCTGGAAATGGCAAGACTTTGTCACGTCATATATAAGACTCTTTGAATTAATCTTTTGCTAAAAGGAAATCTGCTATTTAAAGGACAACTGCTGCAAGGGATGCTCAAGGGCTGCAAGGCACATATCTACATCATTGAAAAATAAGGATCTTCACCAGCACACCTTGGTATACTGATAATCTTGTCCTTCATTCACATAAAGCAACAGGTGTTACAGATTTGTGACTCCTGTTGCCTTACATGTATAAAGGACAAGATTATCACTATACCAAGGTGTGCTGGTGAAGATCTTTATTTTCCTATGACTGTATGGAGGCACCATCTACCAATTCACTACAGAAGCTTCCATGAACTGTGGGTGAGTCTGTAAGGAATGTAACCAATGCAATACAACATATCTGCACCAGCCTTCAAAAATCTGCAGATACAGCCTCTATAAGGCAAAGCTTCAGCATGTTAGAATAGCACTGATGTTTTCTGATAACTCCTGTTATCACATATTCCTATTGGTCCATTTTGATGAACTGCCTTACTGGCCAATAGGAATGTGCAGGAGATAGGAAGTAATGGGCAAGCTTCCACTCAGTCAATGCCAAAGCATTGCCTTACAGAACAGCACAGCATTCATTTGTAGCTACAGGCTTTTGGGGGCTGCTGAAGATAATTTTTACCTGAAATAGTTTTTTTTTTTCCTGACAAATCATTTTTTTGGGGAGAAAAAGTAAAATGGAATTATGGTGCTGGATAATGTTTCTAAAGCAGACCACCATACAAGCAAAGTAAAATTACTTTTTAAAGTATTACATTTCAGCCATCACTTAAGATATTCTAGTCTCATGTGTTGCTTTTTAAATCTATCTGTTTGCTGTTAAAGATATTTTGGACTCCCATTTTACTTTCATCTGCTCAACTAAGTCACTTCTTCCACTTTTGTTTAAGTGCCGTGCTAAGAGTCGGAACTTGTCTGTTGAAGTTGGTAGTCTTTTCTTCCAAAGACTTAGCATTTCATAGACCTGTGCAGCCAAGTTATCTGGGTTCTTTAGTCTCACTAACTGGACAGTACTCCGCTGCATAGGAAGAGACAGAAACAACTCAGTGGCATCTTCTTCTGAGAGTTCATGAGACAACCATTTCAACACACTATCCCATAGAAGATCTGTCAATAAAGGAAATATCTGTTAACTAATAACAGTATAGGGAAAATTTAAAGCAAAGGAAAGATGTGTTGTTCAGAATAACCAAGTTCAAATACAGGTAAGATAATAAAGAATAAAATAAGAATGGTTAATGCGAACCATTCTTTCAGAAATATGCATGGCCAACGAAATCGCAATATTGATAAAATCCTCAAGGTCCCAGTGGTCTAATCCCCCAACTTGTCAGGACATGACACCAAAATATAACCAAACAAATGCCAGGTGGAGGCGTATCCAGTATAAATACAAAATTAATACAAAATCTCACAAAATACTAAAAATCCTGGCTATGACTCACAGCGCCACCTTTGAAAACATTATGGAAAGTAGCGAACATACCTAAGCATGTATACTTTTATATAAATGTAGCAATGTGTTATTCACATCAATGCAATAGACAAAAATTAAAAAATCTTGGCCAATAGACACACAAATAAATTACAATACCCACACCTGGCCCCCTGGTTTTCTTGGAATCCCCCTATTTTTATTAAACTATGTACTATTTTTGCTCAAAGAAGCAAGGTCTTATTTATATAGAAATAAAGGCAAAGATGATACAGAAAAAGTATGTGAACCCCTTGGGATTAAGTGGAGTTTTGCATGAATTGGGCATAAAATGTGCTCTGAACATCATCTAAGTCACAACAATAGAAGAACACAGTCTGCTGAACATAATACTACACAAACATTAGATGTTGCCATTGTTTAATTGCACATAACATGTAAACATTCACAGTGCAGGGAGGAAAAAGTATGTGAGGCCCTAGCTTAATGACTTCTCCCAGAGCTAATTGGAGCCAGGAGTGAGCCAACCTTGACTCCAATCAGTGTGATGATATTGGATGTGTTGCTGACAGCTGTCCTACCCTTAAAAAACACACACCTGTTTTGGGTTTACTGGTTTCAAGAAGCACTGTCTGATGTGAACCATGCCTCGCAGAAAAGAGCTCTCAGAAGACCTACGATCAAGAATTGTTGACTTGCATGAAGCTGGAAAGGGTTACAAAAGTATCTCCAATAGCCTTGATGTTCATGTGTCCACAGTAAGACAGACTGTCTACAAATGGAGAAAGTTTAGCACTGTTGCTACTCTCCCTAGGCATGGTCGTCCTGTAAAAATGACTGCAAAAGCACAGCGCAGAATGCTGCATGAGGTAAAGAAGAATCCCAGAGTGTCAGCTAAAGACCTACAGAAATCTCTGGCACATGCTAACATTTTTGTTGACACATCTACAATAAGGAAAACATTAACCTCCTCGGCGGTATGATTCTTTCCGATTTTTTTGTGCTGAAAGTGGTACCATTTTTTTACATGGAAATATGTAGTTTTTTATTGTAGGCTGTAATTTTTAGGAATAACTCACTGAAATCTGTACGAACAAGAGTTTAGTAAACATCCCGGGTAGGATAAAATTTGAAACACGAAATCATAAATTATAATTTAATAAATAATCATAAAAAATAATAATATAATAATAATACATTTAATTCAATAATATAATCAAACCAAAAACACTGAAATTTGAAATACAGAGGCAAATTCACATATCGCTGAGCAAAGTCGCAAAATCGTTTTCAGTGTCTGATGACGAATTTCCCCACGAATCATTATCACTCAATTCTGCAAGTGGTTCTGATTTACTATCACTGTTCTCTAGCTGGTCTAAAACCGCTTTTGACGTAAAGGGACGCTTTTTGGACGCCATGGACTTTTCTAAGTTTCCAGGCAGAAAGAACAGTCAAAATGCAGGCAGGGCACAGGACAAAGCAGTAGGGACAAAATGTATGTGAAATGCATTGAAACAGCAATGTTTTACTATGTAATAATCATTTAAAAAAAAGTGACATTTTTTAAAAAATTTAAAATTTGCCGCCGATTCCGGCGCCCGTACGTGCCGACGTCACAGGGATCGGAACACGGAAGCTGGATGCCGGCATCGGCCGGAGGAGATGGCCGGGGATGCTGCAGGGGGACACATCGTGGGAGCGAAGGACAAGGTAAGTACTGCAGGGACTCCCTGAGCAACGCCGCATGGTAAGCCCGAATGTAGCTCGGGGTTACCGCTTTTGGTACTGACATTTTATCCTGAGCTACACTCGGGAATACCGCTAAGGAGGTTAAACAAGAATGGAGTACATGGGAGGACACCATGGAGGAAGCCATTGCTGTCCAAAAAGAATATTGCAGCACGTTTGAAGTTTGCAAAAGAGCACCTGGATGTTCCACAGCACTACTGGCAACATATACTGTGGACAGATGAAACCAAGATTGAGTTGTTTGGGAAGAACACACAACACTATCTGTGGAGAAAAAAAAAGGCACAGCACACCAACATCAAAACCTCATCCCCACTGTAAAACATGGTGGAGGGAGCATCATGGTTTGGGGCTGCTTTGCTGCCTCAGGGCCTGGACGGATTGTTGTCATTGGTGGGAAAATGAATGCCAGAGTTTATCAAGACATTTTGCAGGGAAACGTACGATCATCTGTCCGCCAACTGAAGCTCCGCAGAGGATGGGTGATGCAACAGGACAATGACCCAAAGCATACAAGTAATTCAACAAAACAATGGCTGCAACAGCACAGAATACGCCTTCTGGAGTGGCCCAGTCAGAGTCCTGACCTCAACCCGATTGAAATGCTGTGGAATGACCTTAAGAGAGCAATTCACACCAGACATCCCAAGAATATTGCTACACTGAAACAGTTTTGTGAAGAGGAGTGGTCCAAAATTACTCCAGATCGTTGTGCAGGTCTGATCTGCAACTACAGGAAATGTTTGGTTGAGGTTATTGCTTCCAAAGGAGGGTTAACCAGTTATTAAGTCCAAAGGTTCACATACTTTTTCCTCCTGCACTGTGAATGTTTACATGTTATGTGCAATTAAACCATGGCAACATCTAATGTTTGTGTAGTATTATGTTCAGCAGACTGTGTTCTTCTATTGTTGTGACTTAGATGAAGTTCAGAGCACATTTTATGCCCAATTCATGCAAAACTCCACGAAATCCCAAGGGGTTCACATACTTTTTATTGCAACTGTACGTTACGTAAGTTCAACCTCCAAGCTGAGTATCTTTAGCTGGGTCCCAGGTGGAAAAGGTGAACAAAGAGAAAGGGAAGCATGGCCGAACTGTGTTTAAATGCCCTCTCAGGCACCACACACACCCTTGACCCACCTGGTGTAGTCCTCCGTCCAATGATCAAACGTTCATAACTCATAAGGGTCTGACCTCCCTATTCATTAGGAAGTGTAGTATTACCCTAGCCATCCTCCCGAAAGTATTTTGTCTCCACCAAGGGGCACTGCTATATTGCCAACAATGCTCTGACCCAGGTCAACATTCCAGTCCCCATCCGGTTTCTTGCTTCTGGTTAGAAGCCCTGTAATCTGTCCTTTTAATCTTCGTGTCACCAAAGAATATGGGCTTAGGCTATCTTATCTCCATGCCCCACCGCTAGGGGACAATGATTTTGGTATGCAGCCTTTTGTTACACACGCCCTGTTGTAAATACTTTCCAAGATGACATTCAACAAGCCAAATGGTTCTTTGCTAATCAGGCAGTAAGAATCCATAAATGTCTGATATATTATTATTATACAGTATTTATAAAGCGCCAACAGTTCGCTCAGCGCTGTACATTACAAAGGGAGACAGAACATGCAACAGTACGAAAACAATACAATGTGATACACGAGGGGTTCGAGGGCCCTGCTCTTTCGAGCTTACTATCTAGGAGGTAGGGGATAGTGGTACAAGAGGAGATAGCTGTGGGGAATAGAGTGGTAGGAAGAGTGGAGGAGGTCGGCAATTAGCAGGGGGGTGGGGTAGGCTTCCCTGAAGAGGTGGGTTTTTTAGGGTGCGCCTAAATGACAGGACAGTAGGTGATAGTCTGATGGATTGGGGTAGGGAGTTCCAGAGGATAGGTGATGTCCTTTAGAAATCCTGGAGGCGGGGGCATGGGAGGAGGAGACCAGGGAACTAGAGAGAAGGAGGTCTTGAGAGGAGCGGAGTGTGCGTGTTGGGCGGTACTTGGATATTAGGTCAGTGATGTAGTTTGGGGCAGTATGATGGACCGCTTTGTATGTCAGTGTTAGGATTTTGAATTTGATCCGTTGTGCGATCGGAAGCCAGTGGAGGGATTGGCAGAGGGGGGTAGAGGAAACGGAGCGGGGGGGAGGTGAATGAGTCTGGCTGCCGTACTAGATATAGAAACATGTTGCCTTCCAACACCCCCTCTAAGTGATCCCCCAATATATATATATATATATATATATATATATATATATATATTATATATATATATATATATATATATATATATATTGTGTATAAAGTTGATAGCATTCCTATTGTCTTGCTGACTTGTACCCAATATCTCAATATAATGTATGTACCACTGTTAGGACTTGTAGCAATATGTTATATGCTGTGTATGGCCTCTAGGGGTCTCACTACTTAGATACTGGTACAACTGTGTTATTGCCTCTCTTTGGTTGTAGTTCTAGGGCAGACACATGTATAATGGCAGCTAGAAGCACCTAATAAAATGTCTCCTGTTAACTACAGTGTGTGATCATCTGAGCAGGATCGACTAACAGAACATGGTGGCACTGGGCACTGAACCTCTGAATAGCAAGTCTTCTGTCTACAAATACAGATTGTGTGACACTGGAACTGTACAGAGAATCAGCAACTGTAAGTACAGAGTCCCTATCAGACTGCACTATGGAGAGTGGCCTGAAACCCCCCTCAGAGACTGGATGTCACTTCTTCCAATCTCTCACAGACATGGAGACACTGGAAGGAAGAGTTTACTCTGTATGTGGACCTGACAGTGGCACCCAGAGATGAGCAGAGGGAAGTAAAGCTGTTTTATTACTTGATTGGGGAAAAAGGCAGAGAACTAGCCGAGACCCTGCTCACAGACAGCATGGCACTGACAGACATACTG